GTTGCGTGACATCCTGAGGGTGTATTTGACATCATGCGCCTTTATTCATTTTGCTATTTCAGTGACTAGGCTAGTTGTCAGCTCAATTTTTCGAGAAAAGGAAGATTGGCGTATGCATTGGAAACTGAACTTTACATTTATCCTGTGTTTGCCGCAAGACTTAACTTTGAACCTCAAATTAAATGAACCTCATTTAAATGTAATGAATTCACTCTTAATCTAATGTGCCACGTTCGTTAAATGTTTGTGGAAGAGTTGACACGATTGAATCTTTAATAAATACATTTTGTCAGCAAAGACCCTATTTCTTTTTTTCATGAACCACTGTACCATTTTCGTCTCATTGTAGTCTTTCTTGGTCAAACACCTTCGTAGAAGCTTCTCGGTTTTCACAAAGTTCTTCAAACGCAGATCAAGGATTGATAAGTTGTTGTAATCAGGTGACCGAAGCGGGAGCTCTCTCTCCTACTTGTCAGACCGACGATTCATTTATCTCTATGACCACGACGAAAAATAATCACGTTTGTGAAAAAAAAATTTTCGAGCGAGTGTGGAACGTAATCAGGAATAGCACTGGTTTCGCTTTACATTCCCTCAACCAATTACTGAGATGCAAAACTAAAACCAATCCCAACTTGTTCTACCGCGTTTTCCCGCGCTTCAAGCAGTTTGCGTGTCTTCAACTGAGTTCTCATTGGCTAATGACAACGTAAACCTTTCATTCCAATTGGTCACTTTGATTGCCTTGATTTTGGATTTTTCCACACTAAATTTTCTTTTTGAATAAAGGCTGATAGTTTCGAAAGAAACTGTTTGGGGCTGCGTCGGTGGGAGTAACGAAATAATTTGGATATATCAACAAAGTTGAAATGGTAAATTGGCCACCGTAATGATTACAAAAGCTGACGTTTCGAGCGTTAGCCCTTCGTCGGAGCTCCGACGAAGGGCTAACGCTCGAAACGTCAGCTTTTGTAATCATTACGGTGGCCAATTTACCATTTCAACTTTGTTGATATATCCAAATTATTTCGTTACTCCCACCGACGCAGCCCCAAACAGTTTCTTTCGAAACTATCAGCCTTTATTCAAAAAGAAAATTTAGTGTGGAAAAATCCAAAATCAAGGCAATCAAAGTGACCAATTGGAATGAAAGGTTTACGTTGTCATTAGCCAATGAGAACTCAGTTGAAGACACGCAAACTGCTTGAAGCGCGGGAAAACGCGGTAGAACAAGTTGGGATTGGTTTTAGTTTTGCATCTCAGTAATTGGTCGAGGGAATGTAAAGCGAAACCAGTGCTATTCCTGATTACGTTCCACACTCGCTCGAAAATTTTTTTTTCACAAACGTGATTATTTTTCGTCGTGGTCATAGAGATAAATGAATCGTCGGTCTGACAAGTAGGAGAGAGAGCTCCCGCTTCGGTCACCTAATTACAACAACTTATCAATCCTTGATCTGCGTTTGAAGAACTTTGTGAAAACCGAGAAGCTTCTACGAAGGTGTTTGACCAAGAAAGACTACAATGAGACGAAAATGGTACAGTGGTTCATGAAAAAAAGAAATAGGGTCTTTGCTGACAAAATGTATTTATTAAAGATTCAATCGTGTCAACTCTTCCACAAACATTTAACGAACGTGGCACATTAGATTAAGAGTGAATTCATTACATTTAAATGAGGTTCATTTAATTTGAGGTTCAAAGTTAAGTCTTGCGGCAAACACAGGATCAATGTAAAGTTCAGTTTCCAATGCATACGCCAATCTTCCTTTTCTCGAAAAATTGAGCTGACAACTAGCCTAGTCACTGAAATAGCAAAATGAATAAAGGCGCATGATGTCAAATACACCCTCAGGATGTCACGCAACGCCTCTGCTGCGGCAGGGTGGGGAGACGTTGCGTGACATCCCGCGTAACGGTTGCTGCAAAGATTAAATGTTGACTTGCGAAACGGTCTGTGAAACCATAGCACTGCCAGAGGATGGTGAAGCAGATACGGCCGGCATCGAAGATACAACTTGTGAATGAGAAGGAGTTACAGACATTGCCGGACTGGTGGAAAGTGCGGGTGATACGGCCGGTATTGTAGATGCAACTTGTGAACTTGAAGGAGTTAAGGACATCACCGGACTGGAGGAAGGCGACGGGGTTGGGGTTCCTGTTAGTGATAAATGGTACAACTCTGTTAGCAGTGCATCCTTGAACTAATTAATCTGCCAGCAATTTGATGTAAGTCTGGAATTGATTGGAGTTAGTAACTGCACATGATACTTACCAAAAAGTAACTTTTGTTTTGATCGGCATTTTGTATTATTCAAGCAATCTACGTTTTTCAATACAATCCTCAGCAATACTGTTTGTGATGAAAGAAAAACACAGTCAGTTGTTTTAGATAGCTTTAAATAAGTAATCTTGTGTCCTGACCCTCCTTTGCTCAGTCGTTTTGATTTAAGACACACTGTATGTAAATACTTTATTTTATACAAGAAAAGAACTGAAGAAAAATTACCCTGTTCACTGGACTCTCTGAGCTTTTGTATCAACCAAGTAACGTATTTTTCTTGTTGCTGGGAACTCGTCCTTTTTTCCTTTCTCGTTAATAGATCCTTCAGCCATTAAATTTGGAGAAATCTGGTATATATTTTCAACATTGTGCGTAACGCTGAACGACGTTAAGAAAACGAGTTTTTCCTTAACCTTTTGTGCTTCTGCTCTCTTATTGATCATTGGCAATAGTCTTGTACCCAAGATCCTCCACGGCCAAGCGGGTGGAATGTTCCTACTTTTCAGTAACAGTGTAACAGTAGGATCTGGGTACAAGGCTATGTCGGCAGTTACCATCAGAGAGTATAAAGCGTTAAGTTTGATAGCAATCTTTGAGCTACTTTATTTCGATAAAGACAGACTATGCTACTTACTCTTATAGCTTGGGCAGTAACGGGGACGGGGACGGTAACGGTAACGGTAACTGGGGCGGCGGTAACGGGAAAAGCGACGGGTAAGGAAACGACGAGAACGGGGGGTATGCCTCCTACGCCACCAGGTGCTCCTCTTTTCTCTAAGATTATGCTCTGAAAAATACAAATGATCCTCATATGAATACATAGATTAGGTCAAGGATAAAGGTACAGTTCATTTTCAACTCACTTTGAGTCTGTATGAGAGAGAAATATATAGTTCTGTCCTGATCCTGAGGCGGGTGTTAATGTGGTGATGTAATGTGGTGATGTAATGTGGTGATGTAATGTGGTGATGTAATGTGGTGATGTAACGGGGTGATGGTTCTTTGGCTCACGGTTTAAATGTTGGCCCGGCTGACGGTTAATTTCTTATTTTTCTTAAAAGAAAATATTTATAGTTACCTTTTTTAGGCCTAACGGCTAAATTATTTTACTGCTTTACACCTAACGGTTAACTTCATTGAAACCCTCTCTGTTTCTCTGTTAGTGTCCGACACAGTGAGTCACTAAGGCATGGTTACTCGTCGGTTATTATTCTCGTTATTCTTAAAATCCAATATCGATGCTATGAAAAGTTTTAAAAAGTTGTTAGTTTTAGACTTCCAAATCCGTTTTACTGAGATGGGCTTTGTGGCTACGTTTGGTCATGAAAACTAGCTCCAACGCGCCAAGTCGAGGCATACACTGTTTTAAGAACCACGTACCTTGCAATTCCACGTCTGTATCGCTGATTTCGTTTTCATTCTCTCCTTGAACAAATAACACCAGGAATATGACACAGAATGCTGCCTGTAAACAAGAAGAACAAAGGCCATAAACTTCTACCTATAGACACAAAAGCAGATAACCCGACAGCTTCCAGCTACCACACATATGAGTAAGGCCGTGATATTATAGTTAACAACTATTCACCAAAGTGGAGGTGGTTAGTGGTGGATATTTACCGAGCCGCTTCGCGGCTCGGTAAATATCCACCGCTAACCACCGACACTGAGGTGAATAGTTGTTTCAGTATATACTAAAACAGTGAGATAATATACACCACCGTCGTTAATTTGAGTGATTTCTTCACTTGTCACGGATGCAAACCGGGGCGCCATTTTTTCCCGAGTTGCTCGGAGGTAAATAGCAAAGGATATTCGGAGTTTGACTAGCCAACCAGAGCGCGCCTTCAACGCTATCCACTGTTTTAGTATATACTAATACAGAATATTCTGGAAAAGGAACTTCAACGTGCTTTTCTTGGACCTAACTGATATAAGGGCGAGATGAAAGAAGACTTTAACCTTATAAGCGATTTAGAATCACGTGTCATGATTCATCAATATAGCGTTTTTCTCTTATTTACTACGCAACACGTTTGTGGTTTGCGTTCATCGCGAAGTTCCTTAGGTTCTGGAAAATGCTAATCAAATATCAAAACAAATAGTCACCGCCAATCATATTGGGTTTCGAATTTGAATTCAAGTAGGGTTTAGGAATTTTTTCCTTCTTTGTGAGCATGTTTTTGGAAAACACCATGGAAAAAAATTTAATCCGGAACTGTATAACGGTATGACAAAGCACGATTTTCGTCACTTCAAACATAAATTTTTTTTGACAAGGAAAATGTACCAAGCTACTCCTTAGTGAATAAACTCAACTAGCGTAGCCTCATTTATAAAACATTGACCACGATAATTATCCTCAACTTTCTTTTAAGGATCCATTGACGTTTTAAGGTTGCATAATTTCCTTAATACTTAACTTCTGTCTCTTTAGCCGATGTAACACATGCAACTAAGCTACAGATGTAATAGGGAGGATTGCTTGTAAAATTTATGTACCTTTGGATATTACGATTTTACGGAAGTCAGTTTAATCAGAACAGTGTAATTGAAGCTTTCGTCGGGAGTCATTCTCAGAGTTGATTTTAAAAAGCCATTTTATTAAGATCTATTAAGTCGTTAAATTTATTATATTGATTTCAAATAGTGGCAGTTAATTAAAACTATATTAACACTATCAGTAAGTCACATGACCACATTCCGACCACAGGAATCCCTGACTCGACCCAAAATGGATAAAGTTCATTTTTTTTAGGAGGTGAAAGTGCCGTCTAAAAAATATTTTTATCTTGGTCTTTTTCACTTGTTGTTTGACATATTGTCTGTGCTGGTAAGGTCTTGTTGTAGTTTATTTAGTATCTATACTGATCACAATATTAATCGAAAGTCGTTGTGATAAAAAAAAATAAGACTTTTGTCACGGAGAAGAAAACAGAGCCATTAGCGTGCCCTTGATACCAAGATGAACAATGCTAGTTGTAAGCGGATGGATGAGGCTAATTCAAGACTCTATATCCTTAGGATTTGTAAGTACTTTGGGTGCACTTTAGGAGAACTTACGATCTTATTTTGTAGCTTAATTATGCCTGTATTTACGTACGCAATTGAGGTATGGGCATGTGCTTATGGTTGTAAATACCTATCTAAGATCGATAAATTCTGTAAGCGAGCATGGAAATATGGTTACACCGAGGATCGCATATCCATCAACAATGTAATCTTAACTACGGATGTACCAACTGTGGGAGAAAGTCACATATGTCAACTTAGTCATGATTATACGTTACCGTGTGTTCGCACAGAGCGTTTGAAGCGCTGTTTTATAAATAAGTCTCTTTTTAGCTTTATTTAGTTTAATGTTTGTAGGGATGCATTGTAAACTTTCACGTATGTCTGCAAGTGATTAGTTTGATCTATAATAAAGACCTTCATCATCAAGTACCTATACTTGTTCAATAACTTTCTCGTATGTGGTAGAAAATTTGAAGAAGATCTTAAGTGTTACATGCAAAAATGATTTTCTCATGACGTCCGTTCATAAAATTTGTGCATTGATGCAATAAAAATGAATTTCTCGAGCGATCCCACAGAGTAAATATAGAACGCTGATTACATTGGACACTTGTGTGGGCGGTTTCTTCCGCCTAAGATCCACAAAGATCACACTTTGAACGTGATGTTTTCAATATACAAATAACTCTCTGCTGTTTTCAGAGCTAAGGACTTAAAAAGGTAAGAGCTAAACCGTGTAAATAGAAAAAAGAAGAAAGGAATGGTTAAATTTTTTGGTTTTTTGTACTTGAACATCAACCTCAATAAGAACGTCGTGTGTGCCTCAACTACCATTTCAATATCCTTCGTCTAGGTTGGCCAAAAAGCTAACAGGGCATGACATGAAGGTCTTTTAAAGGACTTTTTTAACCTTGCGTGCCTTAATGCGGGTGAATAAGAGTTGTCGACAAAGCTTTGACTTAAAGGTGTGATATCGCACAACTTCAAGAGTTTGACCCAAACTAACTAACATGACTGTTTTACGGTCAAAAATTTCAAAATTATTTTTAGAAAACTTATTGTGACTTATTAAAGTATTGTGCTTTCACGAAAACTCTAATCAATATCACACTTTATTGTTGGGAAAATTCATTCTTTGA